TTCAAGGCCAGCCTGGTCTACATAGTGAATTCCAGGACAGCTGGGGCTACAGGGAGACCCTGTCTCAAAAAGACCGAAAAAAAAAAAAAAAAGCAACAACAGAGTCTGGGCATGGTGGCACATGCCTTTAGTCCTAGCAGTCCAGAGGCAGAGGTGGAGAGGTGGGCAGATCTCTGTAAGTTTGAGACCAGCCTGGTATACACAGCAAGTTCAAATATATATATATATATCCATGTTGGACTTGAACTCACCATGTAGTTGAGGTTGGCCTTGAATGCCTGACCCTCCCAAATGCAAGATAATAAGCTTGCATCACCACATCTGGCTTATAATATTTTAAAAAATATTTTCTATTTATTATTTTTTAATTTTTTAATTATTTTTATTTTATGTGTGTGTGTGTACTGCCTGCATGTAGGTAAGTGCACCCGTGTCATGCAATGCCCATGGAAGTCAGAAGAGGCTGTCAGATCCCCTGGGACTGGAGTTACGGACAGTTGTTAGCTGCCATGTGGGTGCTGGGATTCGAACCTAGGTCTTCTGCAAGAACAACCAGTGTTCTTAACCACTGAGCCATCTCTCCAGCCCCAAGGCTTATAGAACTTTTAAGATTCATTTTTCTTTGTTTTGTGTACGTGTGTCTATGTGGGAGTACGTGCATGTGAGTATAGGTACATAAGGAGGGCTAGAAGACAGCACTGGAGTCCCCGGAGCTGGAGTGACAGGCAGTTGTGAGCCTTACAACAAGGGTGCTGGGAACAAAACTTGGGTTCTTTGCAAGCGCAGCCAGTGCTCTTAACCACCGAGCCGTTTCTCCAGCCCGCAGATGTTTTTCTTCTGTTTTAGTCTCAGACGAAAAGGAAGGCTGAGGAATGAAAGGCCCAGTGTTATTCAGAGCGTGTATCATGGAGAGAGTTGCATGCTCCTTGGGTCGGGACACATGTAATCATGTATGTGAACAAAAACCAGTTTGACGACAATACTTGAACACCAAGCTTCCTTCGGTATTTGGAATTCGATATCAAGTTTCAGTATTCAGAATTTGTAAGCCAGGCTCATGTTCAGAATTCCACATTTGGAAGGCTGAGGCAGGACTGCCATCAATTCAAGGCCAGCCTGGGCTACAGAGCAGGTGGGGTAGTGTAGGCACTTGGGAAGTAGAGGCAGAAGATCAAGACTTCAAGGAGAGCTTCAGCTACATAGCAAGTTCAAGACCGGCCTGAGCTATAGGAGACTCTGTCTCAAACAAGGTTAAAAAAAATAAAAGAACTTTGTTATCAAGTACTTTGATATTCTGCTAGCCTGTTCATAACTACAGTAAAACAGAATCAGTAATGATTAGTGCATTTGTAATCCCAGCACTCAGAAGGCAGGAGGATTGCAGTCAGTTTGAGGCTGGCGTGGTTTACACAGCCAGTTTTCCAGGCCACCCAGAACTACATGGTTAAGACCCTGTCTCCA